AAAAAAAAAAAAAAAAATCACATGATATTATTGCATACCTTTGCTAAGCAAAACAGGTTAAAATACATCCACAGATACAGCATTCAGTCTCAGGTGTTTAGAGCAGAGATTCTTCAATTAGGGATCACTTGAGGGGTAGGAATATGGTTATGGAATACGGTAGGGAAGAAATACAGTTCTTTTCACCTTGCTTCCTCCTTTAGTACTCACTTATTATCATTACAGTACCTAAAGCCATTCTGTGCTGGTAAGGTACAAACAACAAAAAATGGCCCCAAAGAGCATCCTACATGGGGCAAAAGACAGGCAGGGAAATAGAAAGAAATGAGACAACAATGGTCTGTTGCAATCATCACTGTTTGTCATGTAAGGACCTAAGGTTGCCAAGGTTCTCCAAAAGAAAAGAGAAAATCTGTCTTCAAAAATCAGCAGCAAGTCAGTTAGCTTGCTTTATGGCTTACAGTTTTTTCTATACTAGAAAAGTTAAACTGTTTCACGTACTCAACTGAAAAAGTTAAGTCTAATTCAGAGTTTCTCAACGGGGTTCAGCAGCTGTTGTGAAGAAGTTAACACCACATTAAAATTGAGACTTCAAGTAACCCCTGCTTGAGATGATCCTGCTGTAAGCAAGGGTTGGTCTAGGTAACTGCTCAAGGTCCCATCCAATGCTACTTTTTTCCAAAAAAACCCCCAAACCTGTGGAAAACTATTACCTTTCTGTGCCTTGGCTGTTATTTCAAAGTACTTGACAGTAAGATCTTGAATAGAAAGCACAGCCATGTGGGCTTTCCGCTGCCAATATGCATCTTCTTTCTGTAGACTCTCAATTCTTCTGGGGCCCAGGTAATCATTTTCTATAGAGATCTGAAAATAAAATAAGTCCATAATTGAAAACACAGTATTTAGAGTTCTCCCTGTTTGCAAGTGGCAGGCAGTTATAGTCAAACTGAGTGGCTTAAAAAAATAAACAAAAACCAAAACAAACCCCTTCCCCCTTTATTCTATTAAAAAGAAAAAAAATGTGTATTTATGTTAAAAAGACACATCCATGGCCTCATTAACTTTCATATCGTAAGCACAATAAACTCAACAAGAAAATAACCTATTGCTATATTAGCAAACAATTCATAATAGATAACATTTCCACCATCAAAATTTATATTCTGAAATCAGTGGGAATTGTGCTCTGAAGTCACTTAGGCACAGCTGGCAGCAGCCAATACAACCCTCTTACGCTTCTCTCTTTAAAAAAAAAAATGTCTTGTATATTAAAAGTTGATAATAATGTTGCTTGTGTACTTAGAGTCTAAATCACTTCAAATTGCTTATACTAAAGAGAGTTTGTTTTCAAGTGACAAAAATGTTATGCCACTTCAAGTTTTACTAAAATAGTTTTAGTCCCAAATTCTGGAAACACTTCAGCTTGTGCTTAATTTTAAGATATAAATAACCCTATTAAAAGCAATATACATTGTCATAAACTTGATTAAGTGTTTACAAGATGAAGACGTTACTTTTCAATATTTTATTTTTTGCCTGCAACTATTTTAACTCATTCAAATAAGATATTCAACTACCATTAATATTTAGTAAGAACCACCTCCAGCATTTACTTTTAGTCTGTTACAAAATGTTAACATCGAAAATCAAAAAATTTCAAATTAAGTTATTACAAGACTTCAACCCAATCCAAGGAGAAAATATTTTAAACTTTTTATTTTAAGCCATTGTATCCTACAGTAAAATACAGATTACTTGCAGTTGGTTTGAGAAGCCACAGAGGCCCTCTACATTGTAGTTAAGTTGCTGAAAAATATCACTAAGTTGGATTCAAGTGTTTTAATTTAGTAGTCACATAAGGCAGAACATTTTCCCAGTTATATTATGTATACTCAAAATGTGATCATCTAAAGCAGTCCACCTTTCCCCCCCCCCCTTTAAATGCACCCCGCTGCTGGGAGCAGAATGCGGCAGCCCAGAGACATTGGCAGGGGAGCTCCCAGCACGCAGCGCAGCTCATCCTCATTTGGGTTGCAATCTGGGGTTGAGAACCACTGGTCTCAAGCAAAGTTCCAAAACATCCAGTTAACAACAACACTAAAGGGACAGAGAAGGATTACAGGTTTCTGGTAATATGAAGTTTGCTCAAAGAATGAATACAAAGATGTTTCTTTGAATTTTGAGCCACAAAACTTCCACAGAAAAAGCCCATGAAAAGATTAAAAAAAAAAAATGGAAGGGTCTCAATGTAAAGGCAGAAAACCATTCACACCTCTGCTGAGGGGAACTTGCTCATGTTTCAATTAATTGGGAATGATGATACAAGTTCCTTTGAAAAACGGGTTGTAAATGGCTGAAATTAACAGTCTCTTCAGTCTGTTGGTAGGTAGACTAAGTAACAGGTTGTTGGGAGGGCAGGTGGGTAAGTAATCTGAATAATGCTTTCAAGGCTTATTTGTCCTATTTGCTGCTGGTTCTAGCTGTAATAGAAAGACTCAGTGTCAGTAACTTTTCTTCAGAGGTTTTAGCTGCCAAAACATTATGCACATGCCCAAGATCCCCACGATTAACTGATTAAGTGTGCTCAGTTTATACATCAAGTCAGGGGTCAGCAACCTATGCAGCAATCAATGGCTGCAGGGCAGATGTGCCCCTGGATGCAAGGCTTTGGCTGAAGGTGCCTTCCTGTGCTGCTGCTGGGACAAGCAACATCTGTGGCTGGGTCTTAATGCCCACCCTCCCAGCCCACATCCTAAAAAGGTTGCTGATGTGGCCCTCCCCCTTGTCACCAATTGGTGGAGAGGGGCAGGGCCACATAACAGGCAGCACTTGCAGTCAGTCAGTGGCAAAGGATGGGAGCAGCAGCTATGTTGCTGGTAGCCCTCCAAGTGGGCAGCCCTCCCCACCCCCCACTTCCCAGCAGGCTGCTGCAGTGGCTTGAGGACTGGTGGCTCCCTGTAGGGAGCCAGCTTTTTCTTTTCAGTAAGACCCCCCCCCCCGTCCCATGGACTTTGGGGGCATGTCCCAATTTCACAGGCAAGGCCAGATTTCATGAAATCATAATTTTGGTAGGTCCCTACCTACATCCCCAAGGCAACACATATTATCCATATAACAAGTGAAATATATGAACTGAGGCACACAGTACAACTACCTGACTTGCCAAAATGCCAGAGGAAGATTTGAAGCTGAAAGAAAAGCAGCAATTTGGTCAGGGAGCACAAGGCAGAGAAAAGAAAGCTGAGCAGCAGATTGGGTAAGGGAAAAGTATTGGAGTGACACTCAGTAAGGGTGTGAGGCTAATTTGGGGCACACCTGCCAAAAATGTTGCTCCCTACTTCACTAGACCAGTGATTCTCAACAACCAGGAAGCCAAAACACCCTGTGGTGGCATGAGCTCCTTTTAAGAGTGCCTTGGAGTGCCACACAATGCTAGTACTGTTAGGTTTGCAAGCACTTATACAGTACACAAGATAAACCCAGAGATTTCCAACAGGAATCCATAGCATCAAAAACATTCTGAGCTGTTGTGATCTCTCCAAGTTCTTTACAACAGTATTATTTTTGTATAGTCAAGAAACAAGTAAATTGAAGAGCTGGCATTTTCAGAGGGGTGCAGAGGGGTGCCTTAGTCTACGAAAGTTGAATACCAGTGCACTAAACCACCTCTCTCCCTGTTCTTACAACAGCAGTTAAAGTTAGTAGGCCAATACCTGTGTATAGGCAACTCCCACTTAGCACTCTTAATTGGTTCCTGAAAAAACAAGTGACAAGCAAAACCTAAAGTTTTTGATGAACCACAATGATGACCATGAGCATTATAATGAAACTCGTTGATTGCCAAGCAAAACACAGGTATCAATGTAAAATGAGCATTATAGCAAAATAGCACTAAGCAAAATGGCGTTAAGCGGGAGTTGCCTATATTACCATTTCATCCAATCATTTATTACTCAATTTATAAACAATTCTACTAAGTTAAGATCAAGCAGAATACATTCATCCTCTTTCAACTTAGTGAGCTCTGCAGTGCCACTAGTAAAAGGTAATGCAAACTTGGTCATTAAGCAAGTATGTATATTCTGAATCCACAGATGGTGGAGGATTCATTGAGTAATAACATGCAATTTTTACATACTCTTTTTTCTGATTAGAAAGATATTTTAAATTTGTCTGTTGTGGAAAGGATCTTGAGATTTAGCTCTTGCTCTATGAATTGGAGAATTAATCCCAGAGAAAAAATAAGCAAGTCATTTATATTAGAAGATTACAACTTGGGAGTGACACTTTTGCAGTGATATTGTTTGTTCTTTCTGCTTTTATGAAAGTTGCAATTTATGAGGACCACTGCTTCCTCGATCAATTTTCTCAAGTGAGTCACTGAACAGCTTGCTGCTTCTGACACCCTTATATATCAGAGAATAGCGTCAACATCCCAGACCTGCAGCTACACATTCATCTCAGCTAAAATTAGTTCATCCTGGCTGCACCCTAGCCAAGCCTTATATGGGGGAAGGGAAACCTATCCCCTACCTTCTCAAACACACACATCATCATGAAAAGGGCCAAGAAACCTGAAGACTTTTTTCTGCATTGGGTCTTTTCCCTTAATTACTACTTTGTTAATGGAGTAAATTTCATTAGCTAAAGCATGGTTCTTAATGCATCTCTACATGCCACTGCTGTTCAGAATGCAGGAGTAATGTACTGTAGTTTTGTTTGTTTGTTTTACAACAGTCATATTTATGGCTAACAGCTCCTTTTGACAATTATTTTTGTCCTCGGAAGTTCTCTAGATGCTTTATAAAAACAGACTGATATTTAATACAAAAAAACCTGCATTCTCACTGAGATGGCAACCCAGTGAGGGAGTACCAAAGGGCAGGAAGCACAAGAGGTGCAGGCAGAAGTGACCATTTTCGCTTGATCTGGCCACAAAAAGTTTATAGCTGGGACTAAGCTATAGCTTGTGTATAGTTTGTGTAGCTGCAAACAGCTTAAAAAATGGCTGACTGGGTAGGAATCTGACCCCTCATTGCATGAGGTATCAGATAAAGAGGTTACAGAATGTAGCATCTTTTATAACTTGTGTCTGCTGAGCTCCCAGCCTGCTGTTTTCAGAATGGGAGGGGGGGGAAAGGGAGCAGAAGGAGTTCAGTCTAGGGGGTGGGGCAGGTATACTGCATCTCCCCCAAGGGTTGGGAGCGTATATTCCAGCAACTTGCCGCATGCCAGAGCACATGCGGTATGTGTGTTCCCTGGGAACAGCTAGCGGCAACACAAGGTGTGCTTCCACTAGTTGTTGCCAGGGAACCAAACATTCATGCTCACCTTGACACAGCCACTAAGTCTAAATTTTGCCCTCAATGCTTTATGTACAAGCAACTTCCTACAGTAAAGGTTAGCCATACTAAGTAATGTGGGGAAGTATAAAACTTCACACCTGGCAGTTTCAGTTATAAATTTGCTCCCTATTATGCTTTGACTACTAAACTAAAGGTTTAAAAAACAAAAATAAAACAAAAACAGAAGTTATAATAAAAGACGACATCCAAACGGATAAGCATGGCCTCTGATGCTAAGTGACTGTGAACGAAATGCAGCATTTCCTGCTCAAGATCTATCAACACATCACTTCACCCACAAAGACTACCTGATTTTCTAGCATTCCATACAGAGTTAACTTAAGGAAGGGGAGCTGGGGGACAGCAATCAGCTGGGGGTGGTAACTGGCCTGGCATTTCATGGGGGCTCCCGCACCACAGAGTCCCACCAGGTCACCCACTCCCAGCAGGGTGCAGTTTTAGGTCATGCCCAGGACAAGGAGCCTCCAAGGCATCCCCTACAGCTCCTGCCCTTACCTC